ACACGGGCCCATGAACAAAGTGGTGGGGCGGGTGGAGTTGACAACGGTTCCCCGCTCTGTTGCCCTGGAATTGGAAATTGGCTGCTTGATGCTTTGAAAAAGAGACAATGCATTGACATTGCTAGAAAATTCTGTCGACTTCCGCCTTGCTTTTCCTTGTTTCCCTTGCGGTACACAGTGTCGGCAAGGTGAAATATCGTGCTGTCCCCCACTCCGGCGGTGACCGAGACAGGGCGTGGCTTGGATAGAAGAAAATTGACACAACGATTACCAGCTGGCATGCGCAAGCTCGGAGCCGCAAGAGCGGTCTCTGAGCTCCTCGTACCAAAGTGGAGCTGTTCGTTTTCTTTGCAGGTTTTTGCAACGATTTGTTTCGTAATCGAGTGCTGGCCTGGTCTTTGCACGCGGGATATCCGAGCATCCCCTGTTCCGCCCTTTGGCAGAGGTAACAACAGCTCTCAGCTCAGACAAACAGCGCTTTCTAAAGTCTTGTTGTGTCTTGCAATAACCGCCCACAGTGACGATCCCGCCCACAACCTCTTCCCAAAAGTCCCACTCTCGGACACGGCCGACGGTTTTAGCGAACTCGATAGTCTGCACCCACTTCTCCGGCGAGCAGCTCGCTCGCTCCGTACCGGATCGACCTCGGGCTCGCTTTGTGTCTTAAAAATGCCGGCGGAGTAACCAAGGTCTTTGGCTTGAATGATGATTCAACCAAGACGGCGGACAAGGGTATGATGACATGGGGCCGACTCGACCGCCATATCCTTCCCTCGTCAAACCAGTGCCACGCTAACTAGTTAGTTAGTCTGTGGGCGCGCCATGACCGCTATGTTAGGCCGAGTAACTCGACAGCAGCCTCGAAATGCCAGGGAGGTCGGATGTTGTTTTTGGGCCTGGGCTCTTCTTGTGGGGGGCAGTTTATGAAAAGATGGGATGTGGTCTGACCCCAGAGCAAAACGGTAATGGTGATGACGGCAAGACTTAACAACTATCGGCTGAGATACTGAACGGAGAGTCCTCTGGTGCTGCTGGAATGGATCGAGGAATCTGGACGCGGATTCAGTTGACCCGCAGCCTCTTCTAGGTGTGGTTTGGTGATGAACACGCTAGTAGTGTGATAACGTGACTGACTCTCTCCGTAATATAACTTAGCAACGCCCCCGAGACAAATCACCAACACCTTCTGTCACCAGGCTTGTTGTCGAACGACTCCGTCGTCGTGAGCACCGACGATCCCCGAACTGATTCGCGCTGGTCGTCTTGGAGACAAGACAAAGGCGGTCGAGGTCATTGGCCCAAACGAAGGCTGCAGCTGAGGGAAGGAAAGCCACCGAAGTGACTTTGGCCCACGCCGAGGCGCTAGTTCAGCGGCCAGATTCATCCGTCCCATATCGCTTGTCAGTGTTGTTTGTTTCGGACGACATTGACTCCTGTTGTGTGGGCTGAGAGAACTCAAAAAATGGAGAGGCTATGGTCCAGAATGATGATGACCGATCCACATCCTGACTGGGCGTGATGCAACAGAAAAAGGAACACGAGCCAAATTGATGGCTTGCGATCGAGAAAAGCGGTTCCGTGACGGCCGGGGCCCTCACTCTTTCCGTCGGCAGTTACATAGAAGAGATGGACCACACATTTCCAATTTGGCTGGGAGAAGCTTCTGACATGCCGTGGATCCGGACCGTGCCACTGAGCATTGAGGGATGAAAACCGGCGCAGCCATGCCCTTGAACGATGACATCGCGCGTCCGGGGTGATTCCCGGGCTTGTTCTCCAAGCTCGCCAGGCTACACGGCGCTGCGTTGCTGGGCCGTGGGCGCCAAGTCATTTTTCCTTGGAGCCTGTTACGCGAAATCCCGCGTCATGATTGGTGCCCAGAATGATCGGATGGCCAGATCGGGCAGATGCCACCCCTTTCCACTCTTTGGGCTGACCAGAGCGTGGTGCTGGGATTTGAGTTATCGCAATCTTAAACAAGCGCGCCATGGTTTCTTTTTTGCCCCCCTGGGGAGAGAGAAGCGAGGAAATCCCGTTCTCATGACAAGACGACGTGACTGCTCAGCATGCTCAGGTAGCACTCCGCGTTTCGTGTAGAATATTCTCGAGAACGGCTGGGAATGGGGACGGACGATGGGGTGGGGAAGGAACAGGATTGTTGCACGACAGAAAACCTGGAGAGCCAGTATATGTTCCCATTTTCCCACGCCTCCCCCTGGGTTTCCTTGAAGTCTCTTTTTGCTCGGTTGAGCCGCCCGCATGCCCGTCGCTGTGTGTATGTGTGTGTGTGGCACGAATGGGAACGAGCAGGGAGGATCCCCCCTCGTGTTTATTCTGGGAGTGGGGACGGGAGGGCGCGGTTGGCAGTGGCACGCTCTGCTCGATTGGATGGTATGTACCGCGGTAGCAGAATGCAGGTGGAAAGTGACCCTGCCGCTCCCTGCACGGCGCCCAGCTTCCGGATCGCGCCCGATGGCTGCAGAACGAGCGCCAGTTCCCTGATGGTCTCTCCCTTGGGATGGGAAAACGGATAAGAATGCCCCAGCCCGGCCCGAGGAATTCAAATTCCTCCCTCCTGTTTGATTCCTCATCGCACACCCTCTTCCTTCACCTGTCACCTTTCCCATTTTTCATATCGTGTTCCATATCACACACACTCGTTGAAGCATCACTTGCTCTCACACACCAATTACAAACTTAATATCTGTAATACCATAACACCGCCAACATGCGTGTCACCTCCATCTTCCTCGCCGCCGGCCTCGCGCTGTTCGCCAATGCCCAGACCACCACTGGCGGCGACTCCGCCAGCAAGACCGTGGACGCTGCCACCGCCGCCCAGACCTCTGCTCAGGCTGAGATGCTCCGCTGCCTCAACGCCTGCGACGCCGACGACGTGAACTGCCGCGCCAAGTGCATCGCCGTGCCCTCCCCCAACGACCAGCAGGTATGCCAAAAAGCCCATCCCATCTCACCCCCACCCCCACCCCCAAAACACACCACCAGACAAGCAAACTAACCCTCCAAACCTCCCCCAGGCCAACGCCACCAACACCTGCGTCGCCGGCTGCCCCGTCGGCAAGGGCACCGAGGCCGACAACAACGCCTACGCCAAGTGCGTGGGCGACTGCATCGGCCAGAACTACTACACCCCGACCATCGGCACCCCGCAGCCCACCGGCGGTTCCAACAGCGGCAACGGCAACAACGGCAACGGTAACGGCAACAACAACAACGGCAACGGCAACAGCGACGGCGACAACAACGGCAACAACGACGACGCCACCAACACCGGCGACAGCGAGGGCTCCCAGACGTCCGACAGCCCCTCGACGACCGAGTCCACGGGCGCTGCCGCGCTCCTCGGCGTGTCCTCGGGCGTCGTCGGTGCCGTTGGGTTCGTGGCTGCCATCATGGCTCTGTAAGAGAAAAAAAGTATTTTGAATTTTTGGGTTATGACGTTTTGGATATCAAATGGAAGAGAATGTGCTCTCGGTGGGTGGATGGGCTTGATGTGATGGTGTAATTGGGCCTGGGTAATCGGGATTGGGTGGTAGTTAGGCTGTGCAACTTTACAGATTTGAATTGATGGTAATTAAATGCAATGCCATGTCACCACCGGGAATGGGCGAGTGACTCAATTAGTTTTGTGTGAGTTGTGGAAGTCTGTGAGAGCCCGGTTTAGATTCTGCTACGACTTCCGTGGCGTCACTGGCTCGATGTCGGTTATCCAGGGCAGGTTAAGCTGCTTCATCTCGACCGCCAGCTGGAAAAGATAGTCGAGGCTGCTGCTTGTCAGGAGACTCTCCCTTGCTTGCGGATGGATGTAAGGGAGCCGTACCTCTCGCACTGCGTCTTGGCCTTGTGCACATTGTCACCCCACACATACACGCCATGCCGCCTTACCAACACGGCGTAGGTGTCGGGATACTTATCCATCGCTTCCTCGAGGAACTCGGTCAAGTCCTCTTCATGCGCGGTGTTCTCAATCACCGGAATCACCAGCGTATCGTGGTACCCTAGATTCCCGCTCTTTTCAAACCCCTTGCCGAATCCCTTGATCTGCTCGATGTTGTTGATGCGGAACTCGCGGTCCTTCCCAGCGCCCTGCGTCTCGAGGATCAGCGTCACCAACACCGCCCAGTGCGAGTGCGTGTGGATGCAGCAGCCCGCGCGCCGCTTCGTGAAGGCCGCTAGAAACAAGGGGGTGCACTGGCTCGGCTTGTAGCTCGGCGGGCTGCGCAGGTAGACCCGGTTTCGCCTGTCGAGGGATTGCGCTTGGGCTGCGAGGGAGAGTACGTAAATGTCGGAGGCTTTCATCAACTCCTTCTGAACACCCGAGGGCGCGATGTAGACGAGGTCACTGCCGTTGGCATAGGGTTAGTGTTGGGTCCCCCCAGGTAGCTATGATGGCGGGGTAAGTTGTTAAGTTGCACATACTCTTCGCGGATCGAGGCGCCTCCCCCAGTGCCAGTGACCCAGCCGAGTGTCCAAAACTTGGCGCAGAGCGAGGGGATCAGGTTCGCCGGGTGCTCTGGGTTATCAGACTGGACGAGATGATCATTGGTCTCGGCAGCTTGGCCGTTTGATGGCGGGGTCATGCCGGGCTCGGTCCGGGGTTGTCGGCAGCGTCCACGGGTATTCGGTAGCGGCGTGGTCTTAGCGCTCTCTGCTTACGGCGTACGGCCGAAACGCTCAAGGTGTCCTCTTTCCAAAAGGGTGTTGTCAATGGTGTCCTTGGTTGTCGGCAAATATTAATGAGAGGCGGCAGTTTCAAATCGCGACATGAGGCTATTTGGGCTAAATTGACGACAGGGAAGCTCGCATCTGCGGAGTGGTTCCGGATGGTCCCTCCACTTGGCATGCGGAGCGGGAGCACATGCGGCGAAGCATTCAACTGCATGGACTGCGTTGATAGCGTCCGGCACTGCTTGCCTCTGACCTGCAGCGACTCCACCCGGAGCATTTCACGGAGTCTTGAATACCTTGGTTCGTTCCTTATTGCCCTTATGGTTCTTCCACGTGGTCTTTCGTTCATTCTCCGAAAGAAGCATTGGGAGGCCAGCTGAGAGGCTCTATCAAACACCATCAACCAAGGCTCTTTGAATGCAAACCTGCTGCTAGCTAACTCGTTGCTACGGTTTCACATGTGCACCGTTCTTGGTTTGCTCGGCGAAAGCAGACGGGGCCAAAACTGAGGGCTGCAGGTTGCCTTTGACTCAGCGGACAAGCACCTCTCAACTTGTACGCCCTCTCGCCTTGGGAGCATGATACTTGGTTACTGCTGCCCTCCTATAGCTGCTTGTCTAAGTGGTTGCTGTGGTAGTTTCGGAATACAGTTTCAAGTCACGTTGGAGATAATCATGGCCCCTGATAGCAGACGTGTTTTTTGTTTGTTTCCGTGCGATAAGCTCCGGGCCCTTCCGGCTTTGTTGCCCATTGGGATCTCAAAAACAAAGACACAAGTGTCAATTGGAGTAATTAGGTTTCAAAGAACAAAAAGAAAGAACTTTTCTGTGGAATTGATGTATACAGGACAAAGAAAGCTGATTGCCGGATTGCTGCCGGATTGCTGCGGCATGTTGTTGATGGGTGTTCGCAAGATATTGGCCAGGGCGGTCCAATCACACGGAAGGTTCCAATGAGTTCGGCAGGCCCGCTGTTTGACCAGCCTGGTCCCCCATGCAGTCCCCGCAGTCCCACTGTCGCAGCGCCGGGAGCTCAAGCTCAGCGTTCTGTTAAAGACACGTTGTCAGAAATCGCCTGCCCGAGCTTCAAATTCACCACACCAGCTGCCTGCCACACGCCTGGCGATTTTCTCCTTTCTTTGAGCTCTGGAAGCGATATCCATTGCCCAACCCATCGTGTCATCTGTCTGCAAAGACATCCCTTCCTTCCTCCAACAACCCTTGGTCTCTTGCATTGCACTTCAACTTATCGGTTTACTGAGCCGCTCGAGATAGCACTCGGTCCTCCAAAATGAAGTTCAACGTCGCTGCCGCTGCCGCCGGCGCAGCTTTTCTGGCCGGTGGCGTAAGCGCCGAGGACCAGAAGGTGATCAAGGACGAGACCAGCTCGGTCGCCGAGTCGGCCACCAAGGCCGCCCCCGAGCTTCCTACCTTCACTGTGAGTTTTACTGTTTTGTTTTTTTGCCAGTTACAATCGCCGCGATGTATCGGCCCTGCATCAGACATGCCGAGCTGCGGCCGTTTGACTTGGGGAGCATTGAGCTAGCGAATGACCGGACAGCCTTGCTAACGCGCATTGCTACAGCCCTCCAAGCTCAAGGCCCCCTTCCTCGAGCAGTTCACCGACGACTGGGAGAAGCGGTGGAAGCCCTCCCACGCCAAGAAGGAGGTCCAGGGTGACGAGGAATGGGCCTACGTCGGCGAGTGGGCGGTTGAGGAGCCGACTGTCTACAAGGGAATGGAGGGCGACAAAGGTCTTGTCATCAAGAACCCCGCTGCCCACCACGCCATCTCGGCCAAGTTCCCTAAGAAGATCGACCCCAAGGGCAAGACCCTGGTGGTCCAGTACGAGGTCAAGTTGCAGAGTACGTTTTCCCACGAGTCCATATCACCGCGCATCGTGGCTCTAACGCATACGCTACAGATGGTCTCGAGTGCGGTGGCGCCTACATGAAGCTCCTGAGGGACACCAAGGCCCTGCACCAAGACGAGTTCTCCAACACGACCCCGTACGTCATCATGTTCGGTCCCGACAAGTGCGGCCACACCAACAAGGTGCACTTCATCTTCAACCACAAGAACCCCAAGACGGGCGAGTACGAGGAGAAGCACCTGACCTCCCCGGCGGCGGCCAAGATCGTCAAGACCACGGAGCTGTACACGCTCATCGTGCACCCCAACAACACGTACGTCATCGAGCAGAACGGCGAGCAGGTCAAGGAGGGCAGCCTCCTCGAGGACTTCACTCCCGCGGTCAACCCTCCCAAGGAGATTGACGACCCCAAGGACAAGAAGCCCGAGGACTGGGTCGACGAGGCGCGTATCCCCGACCCCGAGGCCAAGAAGCCCGAGGATTGGGATGAGGATGCCCCCTTCGAGATTGTCGATGAGGAGGCTACCCAGCCCGAGGACTGGCTCGTTGACGAGCCCTTGATCGTCGCCGACCCCGAGGCTCAGAAGCCCGAGGACTGGGATGACGAGGAGGACGGTGACTGGATTGCCCCCACCGTCTCCAACCCCAAGTGCGCCGATGTTTCTGGCTGTGGCCCGTGGACCAAGCCGATGAAGAAGAACCCCGACTACAAGGGCAAGTGGACCGCCCCGTACATCGACAACCCGGCCTACAAGGGTGTCTGGGCTCCTCGCCAGATTAAGAACCCGGACTACTTCGAGGACAAGCACCCCGCCAACTTTGAGCCCATGGGCGCTGTAAGTCACTCTTCCTCGTCACTGCGATAATTCTTGCTAACATTCCGATAGATCGGCTTTGAGATCTGGACCATGCAGAACGACATCCTCTTCGACAACATCTACGTCGGCCACTCGGTCGAGGACGCCAAGAAGCTCGCCGAGGAGACCTTCTTCAAGAAGCACCCCGTTGAGAAGGCGCTAGAGGAGGCCGACAAGCCCAAGGAGGCTGAGAAGCCCAGCTCGCCGAGCGACCTCAAGTTCCTCGACGACCCCAAGACGTACGTCCAGGAGAAGCTCGACCTATTCTTGACCATCGCCAAGCAGGACCCTCTTGAGGCTATCAAGTTTGTGCCTGAGATCGCCGGCGGTATTGCCGCTATCTTCGTCACCTTCGTCGCTCTCATCTTCGGTCTCATCGGGCTCGGCTCCTCCCCTGCCCCGGCCGCCAAGAAGGTTGCGGCCGATGTCAAGGAGAAGGCCAAGGACGTGAAGGACAAGGCTGCTTCGGCTGCGGCCACCGGCGCCGACACCGCCAAGGAGGCGACCAAGCGCAACACTCGGAGCCAGTCGTAGATGGTGTTTGGGGTTGGAGGATCTGTCGTGGGAGTTTAATCGAGACCGTGCCACAGTCAAGGTCAAACGAATTCTGGGGACTGTGGCCGGCGATTGCGAGGCCGTTATTTTTGCTTCATTCTTCTGCTTATTTCGTGGTCTGCGGAGTCCCTCGGCGCATATGTATTCTAGGACCAAAATACACAGGCGTTAGTATTGGACACTGCTTATTTTTCGCTGCTGATTACGTGGACCAGTCCCCTCTCCTACCCTATGTTGCTATCATTGACCGACCCTCACCCCTAAGCCCTCCGCAGTAAGCCGAGCACACCCCGTGACGCCCCAAATCGGGTCGGGGCTGCTCCTCCTCCCCGGACTCTCGGCGGTCTCCACACGAGCTTCTCCAGTTGAAAGACGGAATTGGGGCACCCCGATTGGCGGTCGGCAGAACGCGGCTTTGGAGACTGCGGAGAAGCCTCCACGCATCCACGACTCGCCGCACTTGGCCCCATTCCGGTCCTCGCAGCAGCACCCGGGCTGTTGCCGACAGCGAGACGGCAGATCGGATAAAGGGGAGGAGACGCCCACTGCATGGTATGGGAAGGTTGCTACGTAGGAGGGACGGGCTGCACCAACAGTAAAACCAATCAACCACCAACCACAAGGGCCAATTCCCAAACAATACAATTCGGTATTCGGTAGTTAATTATAGAGGCCGGTATTGAACCCAACCCAACCCATACCCATACCCATACCTTGTCCGAACACGCCCAGACCAGCCACCTACCTACCTAAGGGACCTAGTCTCACCGTTTTCCCGAGAACACGATGCGTCGTCTAGCAACGAGGGCTGTTTCAGCATCTGCTACCACCGGTCGTCTTGTACAATCATCCAGCACTCCCAGATCCGCCCTTCTCGTCTCATCATCCAGAATGGCCCCCTCTGCAAAGCCCGCCTCATCAACAGCGGTGAGGAGGTTACACGCTACAGCACAGCACCTAAGTCCAACCTCGGCCGCCGCCGGGCTTTCCAGCACGGCCACCAGCTTCCCAAACACACACGACAAGATCTCAGACGTGCAGAACACCCCCTTCTTCGTTGATAACAAGTTCGTCTCCTCGAGCACGACCGAGTTCATCGACCTGCACGACCCGGCCACCAACAACCTAGTGACGCGCGTGCCGCAGAATACGGACGCGGAGCTCCAGGCGGCCGTCGCCTCGGCGCAGAAGGCCTTTGAGACATGGCGCAACACCAGCGTGCTGCACCGGCAGCAGATCATGTTCAAGCTCGTGGCCCTGATCCGCGAGAACTGGGACCGGCTCGCCGCGAGCATCACCCTCGAGCAGGGCAAGACCTTTGCCGACGCCAAGGGCGACGTGCTCCGCGGCCTGCAGGTTGCCGAGGCCGCGTGCGGTGCGCCTGAGTTGTTGAAGGGCGAGGTGCTCGAGGTGGCGAAGGATATGGAGACGAGGACGTACCGCGAGCCGTTGGGGGTGGTGGCCGCGATTTGCCCGTTTAGTAGGTTTTTTGCTTGGGATATACAAGTGGAGAGTAAAAAAGGGTTTAGAGTGCTAACCTGACGGTCTAGACTTCCCCGCCATGATTCCTCTCTGGTGTATCCCCATCGCCACCGTGACCGGCAACACGCTCATCCTCAAGCCGTCGGAGCGCGATCCCGGCGCGGCCATGATCCTGGCCGAGCTCTGCCAGAAGGCCGGCTTCCCCGACGGCGTGGTCAATATCGTGCACGGCGCCCACCGCACCGTCAACTTCATCCTCGACGAGCCCGCCATCAAGGCCGTCAGCTTCGTCGGCGGCAACAAGGCCGGCGAGTACATCTTCACGCGCGGCTCGGCCAACGGGAAGCGCGTGCAGGCCAACCTCGGCGCCAAGAACCACGCCGCCGTGCTCCCCGACTGCAACAAGAACCAGTTCCTCAACGCCGTCGTCGGCGCCGCCTTTGGCGCGGCCGGCCAGCGGTGCATGGCCCTCTCGACGCTCGTCATGGTAGGCGAGACCAAGGACTGGCTCCCCGAGCTCGCCGAGCGCGCCAAGGGGCTGTCGGTCAACGGCGGATTCGAACCGGGCGCCGACCTCGGCCCCGTCATCACCCCCCAAAGCAAGGCGCGCATCGAGTCCCTCATCGCGTCGGCCGAGGCCGAGGGCGCCAACATCCTCCTCGACGGGCGCGGGTTCAAGCCGGCCAAGTACCCCAACGGCAACTGGATAGCACCCACTATCATCTCCAACGTCACCCCCCAGATGCAGTGCTACCGCGAGGAGATCTTCGGCCCCGTGCTGGTGTGCCTCAACGTCGACACGCTCGACGAGGCCATCGACCTGATCAACGCCAACGAGTACGGCAACGGCGTCGCCATCTTCACGCGCTCGGGCCCTACCGCCGAGACCTTCCGCCGCCGCATCGAGGCCGGCCAGGTCGGCATCAACGTCCCCATCCCCGTGCCTCTCCCCATGTTCAGCTTCACCGGCAACAAGAAGAGCATCGCCGGCGGCGGCGCCAGCACCTTCTACGGCCGCCCCGGTATTAACTTTTACACGCAGCAAAAGACCGTCACGGCGATGTGGAGTGCCGAGGATGCGATCTCGAAGAAGGCTGATGTGGCGATGCCCACGCATAGCTGAGTTCCTGATGCTGTGGATGGTTAGAATGAGTGTTGGCGAGGTCTTCAAACTGAGCTGCTAAGGGTGTGAGTTTGTTTAGTGAGGATTGGGGTTGGTGAAAGCAGTAAACAAGCGAGCGAGGATTGCTGTTTGGAACTTGACTCGGGAGAGTGTTGCGTCAGTCATCCATCTGCCTGCCCTTTTTGCAACTATATATACATAGCTTGGAGCTTCGGATCGGGGATGGCGATTCAAAATATACTAAGTCAATCGATCATGCCCTGAGCTTTATGCGGGTTCCTACACTAGGTAGGTACCTAGTTATGAAATATGATGAGACAAAACACAAAGCATGCTCCAGCGCACCTGAACTCCTTCAGTAAAACGTCCGTTTAAGGGTCACGCACGGTATTTAACAAAATCCACTCTTCTTTCTTCTTCCCGTTCTTCTTTTCTTCTCCTGGCCTTGCTCGCCAACATTGGCCCTCTCCAAGTCGGTCAGCGGCCCGCTCTGATTGCAGAGCAGCTCGAGAACATCACCAATCGACTCGACCGAATCAGCAACCGACAGGAGAGAGAGATTCGCAGGAACCGGAGATTACGCCGCCGGGTCCGACATATCACTCACCAAGTCTCATCCGTTGAGTATCGGATCAGGAACGCTGAAATTCGGATTAGAAATACCCGATCTGTCGTCCATTCGCTGCTCGATATAAAGACGGGGGCTGGAATCCCGATCTACCCTAGGACCGGAGAAGAAATTCTCAACCTCTCGACAGCGAGAGCAGATCAGATGCCCCTCGTGCTCTTGCTCAGTAACCTGCCGGCGAAGTTAATTGTACTCACGAGGTGAACCCACCGTTCTTGGTTCCCCTGCAATGACCAAAGGGGGTGCAGAGAGGCCAAGAGTCATCAGGGCAAATAAAGCCAAGAAAAGAGAAGAGGGGAAGAAAATAAGTAAAGAAAGCTAAGAAAATAAAAGAGAGAAAGGATACCAGCACTTTTTGTATGATTCATATACCTTGGAGGTTGGATCCATCCAGGAAACGGTAATTCCAAATCGACATCAATTTATTATATCTATGGTTCTAGGAGCTACCAACCCAGCCGGCCTAAGAAGTTGTGATGAGACAAACGGACTTGAACAAGGAAGTGACTCGAACAAGTCGCTCGGAACAAGTCACTTGAATTTCTTGTTTCCGCAATATACATCCCACTTATAAGCCCAGTAACCCGGTCATTCTCTCTTTCGCCTCTCTTCTACAGTCGGTACCCGGTTCAATAACTCAACAACTAGATAAGTCTTTGCTTGAGCCGCCAACGAATGGACAGCCTTGTATCGCCTTTCAACTGCTACTGTTCGAGTTGAGTGATTTGCCGTTACTTCATATCACTTAAAGGCAGATACAACATACCTGACATGTCCCAACAGCCCTCCGATCATTATTTTACAGAGCCCACCAGCCATGGACACACCTCGCAGCCGAACCCCGTCCATAACGGACGTGGACAACAACAATTACAACGACGGCAGTAACTACAACAACGATAACAACTATAACGACAACAATTTTAACGACAACAACTACAACGACGACAACCAACCCCCCCACAGCAACAGCACATCCCTCTTCCGCTCCCCCATCGCCCCCCACAGCAACACCCCATCCCCTTCCCGCACCCCCGTCGCCCCCTACAACAACAACAACAACCCCTCCCTCTCCGGCACCCCCTCCCTCTCCCTCTCCCGAACCCGCTCCCTCTCTCTCCGACCAGGACGCAGCCACTCCCCCCCACCCACCCCAATGTGGGAAGGCGAGGATCATTTTGATTCTCACGCGAGAGGCGATGGCGACCTTGCATGGGCAACCCGTGGTTGCCATTTGAAATTCTTTCCTTCCCAGGTTGTTCCCAACGTTATGGCGAGAGGGGAAAGCGTCTCCCCGCAAACTGGGTCGGTCCATTACCCGACTTATAAGGGAGGGAAGGCCCTTGATACACACTCTCAGTGACACACAACGTATTCCCATACACATCCGCTTGTCAACACCATCTGCCCCATCGGCTACGTCCTGGCATTTTGAATATTTGGTAAGCGCTGACATTACAAACCTACGTATTACTGCCCTCACACATGGCGCCGAATGTATTGTG